CACAAAATGAACAAATCTGAGAGAGGTCCACATGTAGTACCAATATATGTAATATCAAAGCAATCAGACTAGCGGTTTTTAACAAGAAGTTGAAAATATCACTTTTTACCAAAAATGACAAAAATATTCACCAAAATTAGAGAATTGAAGATATCATCACAAAATTAACAAATCTGAGAGAGGTCCACATGAAGTATTTATATATGTAATATCAAAGCAATTGCACATGCGGTTTTTAACAAGAAGTCGAAAATATCACCTTTTACCAAAAATGACAAAAATATTCACCAAAATTAGAGAATTGAAGAAATCAACATAAAATGAACAAACCTAAGGAGAGGTCTACCCAAGGTACATATACAAAGTCGACAGTGGAGCTAAAAAATCTGTAGTATTTTTGCCAATGTAATTAGTAATACATCAATACATGACCATGATCTAGTTTCAGAATGGCAGAAATGCAAAATTTGAACACAATCACTCAAGGCAGAAACACATCCGATCTAAATACAAAATGACATGCCTCAAGGTCAGATAATGTCCAATGTATGAAATTCATTCATACAAGATAAGATCTAGTTCTGGAATTGCATAAAAAGCTTGATTTTTATGAATTTGACATTAAAATTGCCATTCTTTGGCAATCTTGAATCTGATCATGAAATGAATGAATGTGCATATGGCCAATACACAAGTTTGTGCCAAATCTGAACATGATCGGTCAAGGTATATCTGAAATGCAGGTTAGAGCAGACTTACAAACAGATACACAGGTACACACAAAGAGATTATCAGACTGAGTTCAAATGGGGAGTAACAAGGCACGAACATAGTATATAGCCTACTTCTGCAGTAGTTATTAATATGAACCATAATTACTTGCAATAGATTAATCAGTGTTAACTCACTTGTCTGAAATGTATGTTGTCTATACATGAATATTTACTAATATAATAGTCTGTTAAGGCAAGCAAGTTACTATTAAGTTGTGCTTATAGCAATTTTACAAGGCTATTATAAAACTACCCTAAATGCCTAGCTCTGTAACAAACATACCAGTAGAACTAAAAATTGCAATTAACACTAAAAATGTGCATACCTATTTGAAAAAAGACTGGGCAGTAGCATAGCCATTGCCACTACAAAACTTAGCAATCATGGTCTAGCAAAAAGATTAACCAGACTTAACCATTTGGTTACACGATGACTGATACATATTAATGTCTACCAGTGAACTACATGCTTACTAACTAAAGATTTAAGCACTAATTATGGTAATTACCATATCCAATCAACATAGAAAACAGATACAAACCTGGCATAACCATTTCTTTATCTTCAGGTAATGAAATTCTAGCTGATGTGTCCCATGTATAAGAAAACATAACTGGCGTGTAGTTAGTTGTTAGCGGTTTGTGTCGACCACCTTCTTCTTTACTTAGGAAATAAACCTATAGATGATAAACAATATTAGCTAATCTTTATTCCTAGAATTTCAATTATGTATAATAATGACTCATAGAAATAATTATTTAATTATTAAGCTTCATACAGTAGCTTAAAAGACTGGAAATTACAATACCTGTGCTTCAATTTCTTGATGTGCTTTGAGTGAGCCTGGTTTACATAATACCATACCACGTTTAATTTCGTCTCGTTTCAACCCTCGACACAAAGCACCCAGCTGGTCTCCTGCTTCACCAGTGCCCAACGTTTTGTGGAAAGTTTCAATGCCTTTCAAGAAACATCAAATTTAATTAACACAGTGCTGTCAACTCAAAACTGCACATTACTAATGCTAAAATTTGTTTCACATTCCTGCATGCTATAATGTTGGTATTACAAGGAATTATTCAGTTACTGGTTTTAAATAAGGAAGTTAGGGGGTTTCATAAGATGTACATTCTAAAGAAGAATGAATTAGAATTTTCCACAACTTTTGGATCAATGAGTTGTTTCATTCGATTCATATAAATCAAATACCACTGATTATTTTTTGTCAAGATTTATGATATATAATTGTTACCTGTTATAATAGATTTAAGTTTGGCATTATGCCCAATAAATTCTACGTCGTCACCTTTCTTGATAATGCCTCTTTCCACTCGTCCAGTTACTACAGTACCACGACCTGTAAATAATATTGTATATGACTAGATTGACACTACCAATACACCAATTGATGTGCACTTAAGGTGGAGACATTAGGACACAATATTGTCCTTCTGCTGATGATTCAAGGATATAAAATTGATGCTATATAGGTAGCATTTATTAGTGACATGAAAACACTGACAAAATTCAATCAAAACATATTTACTCTATTAGAAGTTCATCTCTACAATGTAATAGTGCATATAAACCAAAGAATGCATTTATTGTATACTGTGATATGAATATATGCACAAAGACAGTACAGCGGCAGTATCGGTTGACGCGCACAGATGTGGATGCAACAGCGTACTGTCCGAGTGCATACTTCGAGGTGTCATCATGGGAATGCCGAAATCTAAAAAGTTTAGAACAGAATCAGCAAACTTCTTTGTATGAAGTCCGGTCAAACCCCGACGGCAGCCATGTTTGTTTTTATTCTTAGAGGACGCTTACGCACATAAACCATATTTGGAATTCACATTTCCTAATATGGTAGGATGAAAATACCCTGTAAAATGCCTCAAAATTACGGCACGCTGTAACTTATAGTGTTATGATGACAGATGTATAATAATATGAATTATTTAGACCATAGATCCACCTATCATTTATGTAAGCACATGTGCTACTAACAGAGCAAATACAGTATTTTATATTTCTACTGACTTTATTTTTAAATATTTATTTACTTTTATGTATATAACAGACATGGACAAACAAAACATATACATTACATTACAGAAGGCTTAATCTCAAGATATGATTTCAAAAGAAACTGTGTGCGGTAAGATCTAGCTAGATAGAAAATGAATACATAAATAAATATTGACTATTTTAATTTCAATTTTAATAAGCCTGAGTTAGAGTCTATTCTGTATGATTGACCACTTTTTGTTATGTACCTCAAGTTTACTATTCTTCGTTGCAATATATTCCTCAATCTCTTTTATATCTTTGACCATGGTTATGTAAATATTAAAATTTTGCATTTATACAAGTGCATTTTATCAAGAATGAGAAGATGATTTGTGAGTTGGGACAATTCCGTTGAACCGGGTATTATATTCTACTGACTTTGTTTTTGTTTTGAAACTTGTTCCTTTGAAACATATTTTGTTGCATTTTTTCAAAGCAACTTGGGTTACCATATTTGCTCTATTAAAAGTGCATGTGCTCAGAGATTTGTTTTTAAGGTCAAAATAATTAATATTTCAATGATTCAGTGTTGGTTTATATGTGTTTCTATTGGAGATGTGCTTCTAATAGAGCTAAAATTCTAATCAAATGTAATCTTGTACATGAAATGTTTGATTTCACACTAATGAGAAAACTGCATTTATTCTTCCCTGCATTTTCTAGTGTCTTTGATGAAACTCACCTGGTATGGAATGGACACTTTCTACTGGCATCATGAAAGGTTTGTCTAACTCACGAACTGGTAGTGGTATGTATTCATCCACAGCCGCAAGTAATGCTTTGATGGATTCCTCACCAAGTTTAGGATCACGTCCCTAGAATTACATTGAAGAAAGAGAATAATCATTCTTTGAATTCAATCAGTACAGCGCCATCTAGTGGTGAAACAAAGAATCCACAGAACCAAAAGACAAATGCATACATATTATAATGAATTCCTTTCAACTAGTGTCTTATTTTAACTAACTTTGCTAGTAATTATGGTGATTCAAGATGTAGGTAATAAAGTTTCTTACAATGTTTGTGTCACATTATCAAAATTTACTAATATGGATAGTAGATATTTAAAATGGAATACTAGTACTTTATTTTCGCTTGGAACTTATTTTCGCTGAAGGGATAATTCCGTGAAAATAAAATCCAGCGAATATACTTTTTTTCCTATTTTTCACATTAAACTCATCAAAAATCAGTGAAAACAAGCCATGCATGGCACAGTCCCCGTTAGTTATCAAATTTAAGATATAGTATAGTATATAGTATAGTATAGTATATTTTATTTGACACTAAATAATATATTTTGTTACATTATCTGTGGTCAAAAGACATTAAATATAATAAAACACAATATATAGTTATATAGTTTTATATAGTTATGTTTATAGTAATATTGCTGGAATATAACCATGTCAGGAATATGATTTTTTCAACATTAAAATGATTGACATTTGTATCAATGATCGTCAAACAAGTACTTGTCCATATTGAGAGATATTGCTCTGGAACAGCATTCAAAATCAGCCATTTTGAATACATGTATATATATATATATATATATAACATGATGTATAACGAATATATCAAATTTGAATATAATCAGTCAAAGCATTTAAGAGATATGGCTCTAGAAGCCCGATCATTAAACAAAATGGCCGCCAGTCAGCTATTTTGAATCTGAAAAATAAAATGACATGCATCAGGGACCTGTAATGTCTAACGTGTGTTATAAGTTTGAACAAAATCCATCCATAAATGCAAGAAATGCTTCATATTCGAGGATTTTTTTAGCACAAAAATAGCACACTTTGAAAAAGATCATCAAACCAATAAATCCGTATATCTGTGATATGATGTATAATGAATATTAAAAATTTGAACATAATCAGACAAAACAAGTCAGACATATGGGTCTGAAAACCCATTCATTAAAACGACATGGCCGCCAGACAGCCTTTTTGAATCTGATCTGAAAAATAAAATGACGTGCATCAGGAACCCGTAATGTCTAATGTATGTACCAAGTTTGAACGAAATCCATCCATAAATGCCAGAAATGCTTGATATTCGAGGATTTTTTTAGCACAAAAATAGCACACTTTGAAAAAGATCATCAAACCAATATATCCGTATATCTATGACATGATGTATAATGAATATTTAAAATTATAACATAATCAGTCAAAACAGTTGGAGATATGGCACGAGAACCACATTGATTAATACAAAATGGCCGCCAGTCGGCCATTTTGAATGTTATCTGAAAAACAAAATTATTTGCATCAAGGTCCCATAATGTCTAATGTATATACCAAGTTTGAGCAAAATCCATCTGTAAACAGCCGAGAATTGGTTGCTTTTTATGATTTTTTAGCACAAAAATGGCCGCCATTCGGCCATCTTGAATCAGATCATGAAACAAATTGACGTGCATATGTATGATATCATGTATGATGTATGTGTGAAGTTTGATTGTGATTGGTCCAGGCATTTCTAAGATACAGGTCCGAACGCACGCACACACGAACACACAGAGGTCAAAACATAAGTCCCCGTTTTCGGACTGCGTCCGAACGGGGACTAATAAATTCCATACAAAACGCCCAAAAAGCCTTTTCAGCGAAAATTAATTCCAGCTAGTTATTATAACGCTATTTCTAACATAGCATTAATAATCATTTTAGTTTACAGGAATGAAATCTTTATCAAGACGCAACATATTTCATTGCTTTCTGGTGCACAATCTTGATCAATGAAATCAGATTTGCTCAATTGTTATTATTAATATGTAAAACTTATGATATAACATAATCTTACCTCCATGGCATAAAGAGCTGACCCAGTTATAATAGGAGAGTTGTCGCCATCAAAACCAAACTCAGACAAAACTTCCCTCATTTCCATTTCAACAAGTTCTAATACTTCGGCGTCGACCACGTCAGCTTTATTTATATATACCACAATCTTCTCCATGCCAATCTGCAATTATACCGTAACTGGTTGAACACTCTTTCAACATGAACTTTTCCTGCCTGCACATGTGCTACTTGTATTATTTCAATTCTGATTTCCATAAAAAATGTTTTCACTAAATAAAATTAATCTGTGTAGAGTACACCCAAAAATGGTCTATATCTACATACTTTTAGCACATTACCATGTAGCTAAAACCTGCCAAGAATAGTTTACACCCATAAATTTTTTAAAGTCTCAACGTCTTTAATTAATATTTTGTTAAATTACTAAATAAATTATGCAATCCCAGGGATTGTCAGCTTGGTCTTTAAAAGTAACAAAAGGTAAATCTTGCAAGTGCAAGTTTTGATTTGCATTCCATGACATTTTGCGATCAGCGACTTAATAATTTTATAAATAATAAATTTATAACGCATACAAATCCTGAGTTGCAGTGTAATATTGTTTTGGGAAATTTAGATAAATTTCATTTAAATTTTTCTCACCAGTAAGTTAAAACTAAGGCTGAGAAAAAAAAATCTGTTTCTCGGACATTTTATTTTCCTTCTTAAGCATTTAAAAATGCGCTTGTACTCGCATTTGTCTCAAATTTCCCCCATTTTAGCTCAGTATTCAAAAAAAACAAAAAAAACCTAACCCTGAACAATCCAATGTATACCGTTAAAATCCTATTATAAACAGCGGTTTATATTACAATGTATCAAATAAAAAATCAACAGCTCAAGTTTGGGGTGCGGTTTATATTAGGTACATACTGCAATCACTAAATGGGCATGGTCATTTTTTTCCCACATCACTTGCACAAAACAAATAATACACCGTACAATCTTTTGAATACAAGCTAACTCCAATTTAGATGTCAGGGAAGAGTGATAAGTGTCACGTCACAAAAAAACTGTTCACATGAAAAAAATACTCCGTATATTTAATGTAATATGCATTTATTTTTTTAATCTTCTTCGTAACGGAAAGTATATTCTGACAGGGGTTTCAAATATAAACAAACATTAATGCATTGCTTAGTAGAAAATGATCATGGTACGACACTAAAAAGGTACGGTACGGCCATGCTTCGGCTCACAAGTGAATAACTTACTTGTTTTCGAACTGTTGAAATTGTTGATTATTACTCAGTAGTGATTATAATAACGCACGAAAAATAAATTCGTTGAATTGTTATCAAATACAAGTAAAATTCAACTTAGTTTCACTGTAAGCGAATTATTTCGGTCATATGTAAACGATCGATGCGACACGACTTCCGCTATGTAGTTTGAATGCACACGAAACATTACTTGACCGGGTAGGTCAAGTCGCTAATTAACCAATCAAAATGCTGGATGGTGCCCACGTGTTCAAATTACCTCAGTTCATGTTAATGACAGGTCACCGACTTCATGGTGAACGAAACCCGGAAGCGATTTACCGATAGTGTAGTGCGATCTTTTGGCTTTGATTTCCATGGGAAAACGATATGACTTTTTTTTAAATCAAGAAATTAGTTGTTTTCAAAAGATAAACTGAGCATTGAAAAAGAATTTAACAGTTTTTTCGGTGAGAACAGCTCATTGTCGAAAACTTGCAACACACGGACGTATTCATAAGGAGTATTGACAAAAGTTGTCACAAGACAAAAGCAGTTTCACTGCGTGTTTGACATCCTAACACGACTGAACAATAAATAGATGTGAATATTTTTAGACACGTTGTTGAAACAAATGAATAGGATTAGAAACAATGTACCAGCTGGTTGAAACAAAGTCAGTCACGGTCTTGTTGAATTGGGGGTGCGGTTAGTAATAGGTACTTTTCATGTTTTCAATTTTTGTTGAGAACTCTCAAACACTGAAGCCGAAATCGGGGGTGCGGTTACTATTAGATATGCGGTTTATAATAGGATTTTAACGGTACAAGATATATGTATGATTCTCAATTGTGAATTTTTTTGGAAAAAAAGCTCACTGAATATCATACCATGCTTGATGATGGTATATTTCTGAAATATACCCTGCTTCAAAGTTTTACTTCTACAATAGTTACATACCTGCTTGGCAAGAAGCAAATGTTCTCTGGTTTGAGGCATTTGACCATCATCTGCGGCAACAACCAATATAGCACCCTCCATCTGAGCTGCACCAGTAATCATGTTCTAAGTATAATTAAAGAAACATTACAAAGACCTTTCTGAGGGGCGAAGCCATAAAGTGCAAACGAGGAATATTTAAAATTAATTACAAATTAAAGATGCTTGTTTTTTAATATAGCTCTGGTCTTAGAGATGCACAATCTGAAGCAATCTGACCCACAATATTGACGTTTATAATACTAACGGAAAAGTAAAAGAAGAAATTTGATAGTGTATCATTATGCATCTGAACCCCAGAGCACCTGTTACTAGTTCAACTCAAATCTGATGGTAAGTGGTAATTGAGATGACAGAAAATTGACTAATTTATGAAAATTAGGTAATTATTAATATGCATGGGGATTTCAACCCTAAAGTAATGAGGTTTGTGTACTAATATTCATTAAAATTTTGATTAGTTGTACTGTTAAATATGATAAATCAAATAATTCATACAAAGTAGCCAATATGAACAGAATTCAACCATAAACTGAACACTGAATCCAGCAAATGATATCAACAGAAAGTGTAACTGCAAAGACGTCGTGCACTGTGTGTTTTGTACACAGCAGCGAAAAAACAAGTTATTGCATTACATAGTCCTTGTGAGTTTTTAACCAATTATTGACATATGATTTATAGTACTTGAGATATTAATGAAAACCGCACTGACTATTTGAATATGCAAATTAGACAATTAATATGCATTGGCTGTAGTGTAAAACTAATCAGGCATGCACAATGTCACAGAGCATCTATGTACAAAGTTTCATTGAAATGTAATTGTTAGTACTTGAAATATCAATGGAAAAATTGATAGTTGACTAATTAATATGCAAATTAATAAGCACAGATTTTAACCCACAACTAATCATGTACGTGCATCCAAGAAAATCAAAATGGGATTATTAGTACTTGAGTTATCGATGGAAAAGCCAAAATTGACTAATAACAGATTTTTAGAAGTCTAGCAAGTGTGTTGTCCAAGAGCACCTACCATGCTTCATTGAAATCTGACAGCAGTTCTTCAAAAACCGTGAACAGACCTACCTACCAACCTCATCAAATATGTGTGCATTTTTCAATTATAAATATTTTTTCAGCAATTTTTTTCCCACATTTTTTAGTCCAGATATGTTATATTCAATTTTTGTATTCAGTATTTTGTATTATTGACTTTGCTCCCCCAGTTTCTAATAGTTAACTTGAAAATGGAAATGAAAATATACAATTACATGCAAGTATTAAATGAATGTTTTCATCACTATGCAACATAAACAGAATGAGGTAAATGACCAGTCAGACACAGAGACCTAATAACATAGACTAAGTCATTGACTTTCAGTTCCTTTAAAAGTCAGCTATTTAGAGCAAGCCTTATTGAGGTTTATTATTAATCCAATCACACTGGTAGAATAAGTATGTGAGGTAATGGACATACAGCACGGTTCAAGCATGACACAATGGACATACAGCACGGTTCAAGCATGACACAATGGACATACAGCACGGTTCAAGCACGACACAATGGACATACAGCACGGTTCAAGCATGACACAATGGACATACAGCACGGTTCAAGCATGACACAATGGACATACAGCACGGTTCAAGCATGACACAATGGACATACAGCACGGTTCAAGCATGACACAATGGACATACAGCACGGTTCAAGCATGACACAATGGACATACAGCACGGTTCAAGCATGACACAATGGACATACAGCACGGTTCAAGCATGACACAATGGACATACAGCACGGTTCAAGCATGACACAACACTTCACTAGATTTAAACTTGTTTTCAAAACAATCTACCCCATTAAATGCGCAAAGTAATCTGAACATCTCAAATACGCATAAAGCAAAAATTCCATTTACAGCGGGCACAAAATATTTACATACTAGTACTCCTAACTCCCACACCTGGTAGGCAATTATTGAGGAGCTTTGCAACATCCCCAAACACTTTCCTAGACAATCCAGTGACGTTAGGTGTATGTAAATATCTTGCGCCCACTGTAATGCATGCAAAATTATTGAATGTAGCTTTTGTTATTTATAAATATGGCATTTGAAAATAAGACTGCAAGCAGAGATCCAGGTGGTTCCAAGTGACAATGTAATTTCATGAAATTGTGACTATATATAATCAGATGACTTGAAATTTTGGTCACAAATCTTGTTTGTTAACACAGTTATAGTACTTGTTGCATGTCCCTTTCTGCAGCAGTACTTAAGATATTACAGTTAAGCATATCATTGAAGTCACATGAACATATATAGTCATCTAATACATTAGTTGTATTCCTTATCCAATGCCCTCATAGCACTGGTTGTATATTACTATCTGTAGCAGTGCTTAATACATTACAGTTGTGCATATTAATTGAGTTAATGACCATATATGGTCATCTGATATGTTAGATATATCTACTGTCCAATGTCTTCAATATTGCACTGAATGAATATCCCTGATTGCAACAGTAAACAAGATAATACAGTTATGCATAATAATGAGGTCACAAGACCATATATGGACATGTGATGTTAGTAATGCCTTCATCATGGCACTACTTGCATGTCCTTACCTGTAGCAGTGCTTAATTAATACATTACAGTTACGCATATTAATTGAGTAAATGCCCATATATACATCTGATACATTAGCAATATTTCACCAAATGCATATCCCTGACTGCAACAGTGCCAGAGATATTAGTTATGCATATTAATGAGGTTATATGACACCATTTATACAAAGTAGCTAATGAACACACATGGATGAATTTGAATTGAAAGCAACACAAACTTGGATTATGTATTAACATTATAAATTATGAAAACATTTTTACATAGTGATGCCCTTGCAAAAAGCTCTACTATTACATTGAGGCTCTACTCTGATAGTTACACAAGAATCCCTAAGCATTGTTCTAAGCACAGGACAATGCAATTCGGAGGAAGCACTGGTCTTACCTTTATGTAATCCAAGTGACCTGGACAATCAGTGTGAGCATAATGTCTTGTCATAGTTTCATATTCAACATGAGCAGAGTTTATTGTGATGCCTCGTTTCCGTTCTTCTGGTGCTTTGTCAATTTCATCATATTTATGGAATTTGGTTGATCCACTTGTTCCTTGCTCAGATAAAACTACAAAGTAAAAAAGAATGTCTCATCAGAGATAATACAATAATTAAATGATGGTTTGATTTCACATATTACTACAATTGGTAAATGTGGTCTGTTTAAATTTCAAAATTTGTAGGTCAGATGACTACATTTCAAGACACATAAATTGATCCACCCATGATTGGTTCAACACATCAAGGCTAACTTTGACAAGTTTGCATAAATTAAAATCAGAGGTCTGGAGTCTTGTTTCACATTTTGGACTTACTTGTGTGAGTGCTAATTACTGTCAAACCTGGAAGTCTTTAATAGAAATAGCATCAGTTAAGGGATTGTGGTCGAGATATCAATCAATGTACATTACTTTTACTATGAAAATGTCCAAATCACACAGTATTCTAATAATTTATTCGCTATACAAGTAAAGAAATTGATTACATAGCAAAAATGGAAGAAATACATATCCAGGTTCTTGATGACCAAAGCCAAAAAGTTGATTTACTATCCACACCTTTTAAATTTATGCAAACTTGTCAAATAAGCCACAGTATGTCAAATCAATCATGAGCAGGGAACTTTCTAATGTGTCTCATCTAGTCTACATTTGAAATTGTTGTGATAAATTGTAAAACAGTCTAACTGATCAATTCAATGAATCCACTTAATTACAATGCATATTAGCATAGTGTCTTGTAGCGCGTATGTTTGACACCACTGATTGTTTTCTGCAATGTTAACCCAATTAGTGCTGCCTATAGTGGTAAAAAAACTTACAAAACTTGCAGAATAATGCAGTTCTGGAAGCAGAATTTGGAGTTAAAAATTCTAGTTCCCTTGCTTTGTTTGCTGATCAAGAAACAATACTCAAACAATATGACTACTCACCTTTTGTAATTGCTGCTGTCAGCGTAGTTTTACCGTGATCTACATGACCTATCGTACCGATATTGACGTGCGGTTTGCTTCTGTCATATGTTTGTTTATCAGCATAATGCCTTCTCGACAACACCGATGATATACGTGTGTTATTGATTAGCTGACGATGCTGTGACAAAAAAAGTTTACCAAGGAAAAAAGAAAGAATTAGTGTTTTCTGTAATGTATAAATCTTTACATACATGTACATGTTCTATTGGAAGCACATCTCCAAAATAAAATATACCAAAAACTGTGATATATTCACCTTTCTGCTTTGATGCATACTTTGCTATAGTTTCATGACAATCTCATATTTGTTGATGCAAAAACAATACCTTGTATTTTGAAAATGGTCTTGGAGATAAAAATGGTTCTTCTGAACACAGTAACGTGAGCTATAAGCAGAGCTATGCTATTAAAATCTCTAAAATGTCTATGGAAATAATTACTTCTCCTGGATCTTTATTTGGGTGAGTGATAGGCAAGTAAGGGAGGATGTACTTACGTATGTGGACTCTCGACATGCTCTGGATGGAGTATTTCGAAGAGCTGCAAAGACAAGTTCAAATACATTTTATAAGCAAATATTCTGGTAGATATCATGTTTTTAAACTTATTATATTTTGTTACTTTTTTAAATGGTGACGGTCATCGCGCAGCTCGTGTTCGAATTTCATGTGAGCAAAATTTATTTTGCGTTGTACACATCGCTATGAGTCCCATATTGACAACTGCCCTTTTAAATTCTTACTAATTCTTATTATATTTTATTTGCATCGATTAATATTTCTATACTGAAAGAAATATGTATTTCTAAAGATGCAATAAACAATTGTTATTATTATGTACAAATACAGGATTTATTCAAAAATTTAAGGTTATTTTTTGGAGACTGAATTTGATCATTTTTGTTTTGTTGTTCACAAAATAACACATAACGGTTATTTGTTTTATGATGCAAGAAAAATAAAAGATTCTATTTTTATTCTGTTTCTTCAACAAGGTGCAACTTCTCGTTCTGTATACACCATGTGTTGCCTTAGCTGTGGAATCATAGCCCTATGTTGCCGACCGCATTATTTACGTGACTGACTCTGGCCGGCCTACAACTACAAAATTAAAAAAAAGACGTCCAAATGAAATTGTTAGGGCGAAATTCGATTGTAGGTCGCACCAAAGAGCTACGGAACCGCAGCTAGTGTTGCCTGTGTACCCCCTCCATTACATTGTGCCTGGCCCCATACATCTTTATTTATCTTTATTGATGGGAGAGTATTTTCATTACTTTAAATTTGGAAAATTTAGGACTAGTTTGCTCTTTTTTGTTTCGTGCGTGAATAATTATTCAAACCCTCTTGGCACCAACTTACTCGACTTTCCAGGCAAAACCAAACCTGCATGGTGTCATTGGCGAAAAACGTGTGTATCTTATTACATCTAGAAGGGGAACTAGGACAGGGCATTAATGCTTTGACTGGCCTCACTTGATTTTATATTTATGTCATCCAAAGAACAATTATTAAGCATACATGATAATATAAAATAAAAGATCAGCATGACAAAACTTACCCAATCTCGCAACACTGCAACATCTCAACGTGACGAGCGCGGCCATGTTGGATTGTCTAATGCGCATCGCGTGTGCGCATGATTATGACCTCGGGGTGACCTCTAGACAAAAGTAATGTTTGGCGACAGCTATAATTTTTTGGTTTGGGTGATTTTAAGGACTAAATTTTCGCTAAATATTGACAATACGAACTGAATAAGAGGACCTTATAGTTTCATAGCGTCAAGCTTAGCCGATTTTTGCAAATCATTCCGCAACGCTTCTCGTCGGGAATAGTCTATATTATTTTAAACGTCTGCGTTGCATCGAAGCCCTCTCACTGTCAGCGACACCATTTACAAATCATACAAGGTAAGATCCGAGTTTCTCTTCTTAACACGATATATGTTAAGTCAAACCACTCAACAAGTGTACATATTACCATTTAATTATTTATTTGTGTACGAATTGATTGGTAGTCCTTTAAAATAATTTAATAAATGCATACATGTTTGTTTGACAAAAAATAAGACTGATATTTACGGAATAACAACCATCAAACCACCTCACCCACCCCGTGGCGAGTATAGCACGAGATTTTGTCTAGTTTCACGACATATACTCATGACCGATATTGAGTTTGTATATGGGGTGACCTGTCGAAATCTAGTGGCATACATAAATCTGGAGCTGATTATTTCTATTATCAACTTCAATTTAAAGGTAATTCTGAGACACAGAAATTAACAAGGCAATTGAAATGCTGGTATAAAATAATGATTTATATATTTTATGAAAGTTGAATATTCGTTGTGTCGTGCATTCATGTTGGGTTGATTGTTGTTTTGAAATAGTTCTGTTATTTTGTGGGTGAAAGAAAATACACATTTTAAATGGTCAAATCTGTGCTTTGTTTACATTTACATTATTATGCGTAAGAGTTCCTTAGGGCCCCTTCATCCATAACTCTAATCCTAACCCTGCCCCTCCTGTACTTCTCTTCCAATTCAATTGTATATACCCCTCTTTGGATTACTTATAATTATTGGGAGAGGGCAAATTGAATTTCATTGGGAGGCTGGAGAAGGAACTCTTTCCTTATTATGTACTGGTACGTGTCCTAGCCAGGGATTGACTGGCGACCAGCAGATTGTCACTTTTCTATCTTGATATGAACACAGTCCTATCACTAGAAGCATGATGATATAATTTCCCACACTGCATGGCATTGTTATCAAACTCAACCCTTGCCTTTTATGTAGGCCATGAGCACTGGCCAGTTGTGAGAATAAAATTTAGTTAGGCATCTTTCGGAGCTGCTTCAATTTCATTTATATTAACACTCAAATCTTCATCGCTGCCTCATGTCTTCTTAGTCGATACTTTGCTTGTCGCCATTTTATTTTTAAAAGACAAAAATGGAATGCAGTATGAGTAAAATTATTATTGATCTAGACATATGCATTGACATTGACTGTATCACTTTAAAATTGAGATACCACCCTATGCACACTATAAAATCAATTAATTAATTAATAATGCAAATGAAAAACCTTACAAAATCCAACAATGCCCCATTGTTTTTTTCTCCACTTTAAAGTCTCCTCAAAATGATTATCTATTGTCTTTGAATTCATTCAATTACAGCAGCTTGAGGAACGTTTAGCAATGACAATGTTCATTGATGAAAACACAGAGTGTGGAATAAAGAAAAAATTGTTATACGCTGGGGATGGGGAACTACCTGACTTTCCAGATGGCACAAAGGTCAGTATGTTTTATGGTATTAGTACTTTATTCTAACTTGATCCCAGGCATATCCTAATTAACATATACTTATCCTTAGCTTCTCATATCTTGCCAGACATTTTGGTCTTTCCATTTTCATACATTTTTTCTTGTACAAAATGTACTTTCTGAATACTGCTATGACCTGGTTATATGCCCTATAGCTCAGACCATGGCTTTTTGTTTTGCCCCTTTCTCAGTCTGTGCACTTCCACTTGCAAATGACTCTTACAGCAGACCATCCTCTACATCCCATAGCTTACAGCAAACCATTCTTCACATCCCCTAGCTTATAGCAGACCATTTTCTACATCCCATAATTTACAGAAGACCATCCTCTACATCCCCTACCTTACAGCAGACCATTTTCTACATCTCCTAGCTTACAGAAGACCATCCTCTACATCCCATAGCTTACAGTAGGCCATTTTCTACATCCTCTAGCTTACAGCAGACCATCCTCTACATCCCCTAGCTTACAGCAGACTATTTTCTACATCTCCTAGCTTACAACAGACCATTTTCTACATTCTCTAGCTTACAGCAGACTATTTTCTACATCTCCTAGCTTACAGCAGACATTTTCTACATCCTCTAGCTTACAGCAGACCATTTTCTACATCTCCTAGCTTACAGCAGACCATTTTCTACATCCTCTAGCTTACAGCAGACTATTTTCTACATCTCCTAGCTTACAGCAGACCATTTTCTACATCCCCTAGCTTACAGCAGACCATTTTCTACATCCCCTAGCTTACAGCAGACCATTTTCTATATCCCCTAGCTTACAGCAGACCATTTTCTACATCCCCTAGCTTACAGCAGACTATTTTCTACATCTCCTAGCTTACAGAAGACCATCCTCTACATCCCATAGCTTACAGCAGACTATTTTCTACATCTCCTAGCTTACAGAAGACCATCCTCTACATCCCATAGCTTACAGCAGACCATTTTCTATATCCTCTAGCTTACAGCAGACCATTCTCTACATCCCCTAGCTTACAGCAGACTATTTTCTACATCCTCTAGCTTACAGCAGACCATTTTCTACATCCCCTAGCTTAGAGCAGACCATCCTCTATATTCCCTAGCTTACAGCAGAACATTCTCTAGTTCTCCAGGCCTACAGCAGACCATGCTCTACTTCTTATCCTACCTACCACTTCATTCAATCAGGATCTTATCTCATTGATTTAAAATTAATTATTATTTTTGGTGCAGGTGAAATTTCATTACAAAACAGTCAAACTAGATGATGCTAGGACAGTCTTGGATGACAGTAAGAAGTATGGTAAACCTATGGAATTGATTATAGGGAAACAATTCAAACTAGAAGTATGGGAGAAATGTATAAAAACAATGCGACTTAATGAAGTTGCACAGTATACTGTTGATAAATCTGTAAGTATCATCTACAAATAGTTTGTGTATGTTTTAGCTTTGATATTATTTATGTTTTTATTAATAATTCTTGGAAGTTTCACATTGTCTGTCCTTACTTAGCAATAATAATGTACAAACAAACTTTTGTAATTTATTAACCCTTCCATTATCTTATTTTTAAGTGCTAATCAACAAAATATGCCAACAAACATATCAACTTTATACTAGTATTTTAAAAATGTTTACCCTATCACATGTAGTCAGATTTCCTTCTTTCAATATACCTCCTGATAATGGCTGCTTGTCTGATTGGCATTATTTTGCTGACTATTTCTACTTTATAAATCTAGTGGCCTTAGTAATCTTAGCTTAAATTTAAAACAGTTGATGGAACAGTATAAGGTTTGTGCATTTCCTTTCCAACTGAAACAAAAAGTTGTTGATAACATGCATGACTTTTGTCAATATGTACTGGCCCATCTGAGTCCGTAGCTGAGTTTCAGATTCCGTGGTTGCTTGGCAGCAATGCATGTGACAATGTTGATTTGTAAGGTCCAGTGGGTGGTGGGTCAATTCACTTCTTGTGGTCATGAATATGCATTTTTATAAGCAGATATTTTACTACTTCAGTTTTGTATCAAACAAATTGTTGTTATATTGTATGCAAGCTGCCTTTGATCATTTCAACGCCAAAGTAAACACTTCTTGTTTTTCATAATCAAGCCCGCATAATTTTTCCAGATTTTTAGCAAAGAACACTATTTGCAAAATAATTCACTAGAAAATGGACAGGAACAAATTAGATATTAAATAAACTTGTGGTGAAAATCAAGAGCGAATCTATCTAATTACAGGTGAAGTCTGTTTATAAAATTAACCACCTCGCTATTGCTGATTGACCAATCTGATTAAAATCTGATATAGTGTACGGGCTTTAATTATTTTGGCTATAAACTTATTTTAATTTTATGTTTTATTACTTTTGTTATTAATGCCTTGTTATTTTATTATTTTACTTTGATTTTGATTTTGTGATTTTTTTTAAATTCCGCCCTACCTACATCTGAGCCGATGCCTATGTAACGAGATTTCAATGAGACCCACTGTCGACGATTTTAGTCAACGAATCACAGACCTTCTTCTATAGCGCACATGATGACGTCACTGGGCAGAGTCAGGTGGCAAACACACTCAAATAAAATGGCGGATTATACCGACGTTAGCGACCGAGAAGAACACGGCTTTTCGGTAAGTTTATCATTGTCAAATGCAACGAAAGTCATTTTTTTATGTTTATATTGTGGCTCGAATGGTTCGAGTTTAGATCGTTATTTTGCGTAGTTATTCTGGGAGTGACGATTTTTTTTCCACCGGTTCGACCGAACACCGGTGTCTTTTTCTAGTCGCTTGCCCTGGAGACGGGTGATGTTTTGTTGACGATCGGGTCAAAACCGT